GAGAGTGCAGCTACGCAAAGTGAACCGAGTGACATCACAGTCATTTGAAAAAAAAAAAAAACAACCCAAAGACAACAGGAGCGGTTGTGGATTCAGCAGGAAGAAGGAAACAGAAATATGTCACGCAAGAGAATAGAGTTCAAAGTTAGCCTTTACTTTAACAACACTAAATGTGAAAGAGTTGATTTTGAAGTTTTGTACATTTTGATCAGATTTTTTTTTAATGTAATTCATGGCAAATTATAATTTTTTGTAGAAAATGGGGATTTTTTATTTTTAACAATTGGCTGTTCCTACAATCAGTTCTGTCTTTTATTATCTTCCAAGAATAATCATTTTATAACAAGTCACACATTATTGATCATGATTATTGGATTTTATTGCCACACACCCATGACTTTACTCACACCTTCCTAATGCCATAAATACTCACCTGGGCACAAACAGTGTATTCATCCACAGCTGAAAATAGTTCCCACCAGGTTCAACGTTTACCCTTCTCTGAATAATATTTGCTTGAAGCAAGATATTTAGAGAAATCATTTAGTATTTTGTAAAACAGCAAAGCCTCGTGAAAGCTTTCATTTTTTTTAGCTGGAATGATTGGGCAGCAAATAAGGTAAGGAAATCACAAAGTATTGAGAGATGGACTCTTTCAGTGCTTTAAATTTGACAAATCGTATTGCTTTTTAGTTTGATTTGTCCACAGTAACTGAATCTAAACACCTTATATCAAAACAATCTGCAGATTAATACAAAGTAAAACCTCATGTTGCCTAACTTTATTTTTTTTAGCTTCTGCCCAAACACAGAACATCTAGTTTTTTGCATTTGAGGATTTTCCTCCACGGACCGACAGTAGTTTGGTTTACCATGCACATTTTTGAAGAGAAAAGTCATCATCTTATTATCACCTAATAACAGTTTGAACCAAAAGCTTTTTTTTGTTTGCTGGTAGCACGCAGCATGTGTGTGGCAACGTTTAGCACAGTGTGTGAGCACACTTTAAATAAGTTTCCACAAATTAGAGGATTCTTCTTCACCGAGGACTGTCTCTTTTTGTGACTAAAATAGAGTTCTACTATGAAACCCTTACACATTTTTCTGTGTTTTAAAGCTCTGGTGAAAAAAAAAAAACAGCAAACTTTCCTTGGATGTTGATATTTACATAGCAATTACTGGCAAGACACAAAAAAAGCTCAAAACCGTCCAGCTTTACAATTTTTTTTTTGCCTTTTTATCATTGCTGTGCTTTCAGTCAGGAAAATTTATTGTGTTTGCAAAACTAATTTCATGCTCTTTTAGTCATCTGTATATTATAATCAGAACTGGGCTCTTCAATTCTACATGATCCTGTGGTTATTCTTTACATTGCTGCTGGATCCTCAGAGGAGCAAAAGCGGCGGCACAATCTCCCAGGAGAAAAAGTTAAATGATACGTTTTCATTTAGAAAGCCAAATGTCATCATCATGTCTCTGTCCCTTTTGCTTTCAGACCATCTGGTTGATGTGGTGAGCGGGTAGAGCAAGTAAGAACATGGGAGGGAGACATTTATCATCCTCTAGACTTCAGAGTTTGTAACTCTGCCTGCTTGGAAATCCTGCGGACAGTCAGCGGAAAAAAAAAAAAAAAAAGTCAGTGGTGATTGAATTGCAGGAGTTACAGAGCTGCTGCTTTGGTCCTTCAGTTTTAGGTGCAGCTCTGAATTTTCTGTTTTAATTCCTTTTCGGCGCAGAAAGTTCTTATCTCTGACTTCATTCTGTTCTGTCAAACTGTGCACCATTAGGCTGGCAGACGGGAGCATTTGTAACTCATGATGGTTTCTGCACAAGCTTGTCTAAAATCATACCATCCATGTCAAAGAGTGGGGTTTGCTCATGTTGGAGCATTGTGCCTGTTCGCTTGCGCCATGCTTTTTTTATGGCACGTCAATTCATTTGAAACTTCAGACATGACTACGAGTGCTGACAATGGCCTTTTTTCTTTAAAGTTTGACACTTGGCCAACTTGCCACTCTCTTTTTTTTCTCAAGAAAAGACTCTGGTGTATCTTTCATGCATGTTTGTTCCCAGACCTGTCTGGTTTTCCATGTCGCCAGTGATGCTGTCTTGTTGACTTAGAGGCGTGCAAAGACAGAGTGATGAGTGAATGAATGAATGAGTCCCGACCAGCCTGAGGTAGTTTCTTCTCTTTACACACACATAGTAAGAGATAATGTAAATTGCTTTAAATCATACTGTACCTAGCAAAGTGTCGAACACATTAACTAAACGTTGGTCCCTTAAGAACACTCAATCCCTCTCGTACGTAAGACAGACAGTGACGGAATGTAGTTGAAGATCCAAGCGCCTGTTCTTGCATTTTAAGGAATCTCTGTCATCATTTCACTGTGCCATGAAATATTAATAGTGCTTAGTATCATATCCATTAGGATGAAGGAGGCCAAGTTTTCAGTCTGTCTTTCCAAGTTGTTGAACCGTTTCAAGTCAAACTGTCTTATGAAACACTCTAAAGAATATAAGTCAGAAAACTAATATTCTAGTTTGAGCATCTGCACTTTAGAATAATTTGAGTTTTTAAGCATTGTTTCACACAATGATCAAAGAATTTGTGTATTAAAAAAACAAATATTACAAAGTAATCAACTAATTGTAAAGCTTTCTGATGATAAACCTTGGTCCAATAATTTCCAAAAATGTGTGACCCCAAAGGAAATAATTATGATACAAAAGTGGCTTAAGAAATGTCATCCTTGGAAGAAAATTCATGAAGTCTGAAAATGTGGTATTCAGTAATAAAACAAAAACAACAAACAAAAGGCCTTTCTGGTACTTAAATTGTTATTTATTCGAAAAATGTGTTTTTATGCTCTGCGTCAATTCCTAAAAGCATCCGAGAGTGGCCCACCTGCTGCCCTTTGAGCGCACAGCGCCTGCTGAAGACGCCGTGGGGGGTATCACTTGCTCCCCTGATTGATGACCGTAGGTCTCGCAGGAAGTAACCCCACCACCATGAAGGAGTGTTTTCCGAACCCCAAGTGGCATCCGGGAAAAACATGAACGACTCCAGTCAGGGAGCGTGTGTATCCAAAGGCCATCTTAATGTTTGGATATACTGCCTCACTTGGGAGTTTCCAGCAATAGAAGAAGTCTGCTTCTGCCAATTTTACCCCAAAGACCTCTGATTTTATTTATTTATTTACAATTTTAATGCTTTTGACCTAAATCTGTTCTTTTCTTTGAATATTTTTTTAAATCTTAAACCCATATAAACAAAAGCTTTCAGTCTGAGCTGATCTTGTGGCTCGCAGGTACATTAATGCAATATTTTAGAAAGCTGGCAGTCTTTAAAGCTCCTTAAAGCTTTGTATTTGTGCTTTTTTTAAAAAGAGAACTACTATATTATTTTTATACTGTCCTACTGAAAAGAAAATTATTAGTCCAGATGAAAGCATTTCATGAAATCTGCTTGTATAATTTAAATGATAACACTTTTTGGGTTCTATAATAACTTCTAATTATTCAGCAGAGAAAAAATAAAACTCACAACATTAAACCAGTTTGTAAGCGTTGCATAACTTTAGGAAAACTGCAAGACTCATTATAACATTTTTTTTAATTGTGAAGTGTAAAACAATAAAACTTGTATATAATTTATTAACAACGTTCAAAATTATCTCACCTGGTGACCACAGATTTTACTCCCTTAAAACAGTTAATTGCGTCTTACATTTAATTCACACTATAAACTGAATTAATACTTCTTGAACTTTGTCAAAAACGCAGATCACATTTTGAGACATACAAGTCGACGTTTTCATTCAAGCTGACCTAAAAGTGAGGGTCAGCATTTAAAGCTGCACTAAAACCAGCACCTGAGCGGTAACAGAGATGACATACAAGATACTGCCTTTAAATGTATAATTACTATTGAAAACCGATGGAAAATGTTGTTTTTACTCAGCCAGAACTAAAGAGGCTTGTCATCAAACCAACTGTGTCACAGGTTTTCACTGACTGCTCTATCCTGCACCAAGAAGCTGCACACAGAATTCCATTTTGTTCACTCATAACGTCACATTACTTCTTTTTTATATATAAAAGCTAGCTTTTAGGTTGCATAGTAATTGCTAAAATAATATTTAGAAATTCTGATTTATTTTACACAAATCTGCACTAAAGTTAAAAAGTACACTTTGTGTGACTTTTAAATGTAAAGCTTTAAAACTCAATATAAAATATTATTTTGCAGCATATCAAAGCAAGATATTAGCGTTTAAAACGTTATTAAATTGGGTTAGATGAGGAGAATAGATGTTCGACTCAGAAGCATCAGCGTTGAGCAACGCACAGCTCAACCTGTGGAGCTGTTCTCTGCACAAACAGGCAACAGGAATAAACAGTTTACAGAGAGACATGGAGGGCAGAGCTGTGGGCCTGCATGGGAAAATCCCCCATTTCTCAGCAGAATCCTGACTGTTAGCTGCTCTCTTGTTGATCAAGGTGTACGATCAGATCGCCATCACGCCGGGGATCAATTACAGCCCAGATAGCATCAGCAGAGGCGCCCAGCCTCCATGGCCGAGTAAACAAAATTACATTTCCCACTAAATGCTCCACTAATAGTTATCGACATTAGGGTTCAAATAAGAAATGCTTTCATATGAAGAGAGCTTTTAGTCTCAATAAGGCAAAACTAAGTGTCCTTCACCTGTAACGTGGCCAAAGTTCTTATTTAAAAATCCAACGCTGTAAAAATCCCATATAAATATAAATAAATCCACAAGAAAAACCTCTTTTCTTTGATTTTTTCTTATTATTCTGAACCTCTCTGTATTTGGATCAATGAAGCTGGAACAACAGGTGGCATCAAACACAGCCTTTATTTTTATTTATATATTTACAATGAAATTATAAAAATATATAATTAAAGATTCGGCATATATTTATATTTATTTTTACATTTTGACAATTTATCATTTTTGTTCGTGTAGACCGCGGCCACAAATTCAGATTATTTAATAAAAGGAAAACATGATCTGGCTTTATAAGAAAACAATGAGCGGATCCTTTAAAAAAATAAAATTAAATTAAAAAGTACTTTTATTGTTATAACTTTAAATCTCGCAGCCCTCATTAGTTAAGAACATGACTTATTTAAAGAATAAAAGCAACCATGATCCATGTGTGAGGAGGGGAAACCAGCTTACATTCAAAAGGCCATGAAGACCCATCTGAGCTGGAGCGGCCGTGTTTGACTCCCAAACCAGCTGTTGGTGAACACACTTACTGTTGGAGCTGTTGAAATGAGTTCTGTTAAATGTGTCTGGGCATTAAGGGCTGATAAGTCCTGGTTAGGATGATGAGGTAGTGAGGCTGAGTCCGTGCACACTGTTCAAGTCTTCATGCTGCTGTTTGCTCAGGGGGCTGGGAGGTTTTCTGTCTCCTGTCAGGAAACAATCAGGCAAAAATGCTTATTTACATACTTGTGTATATATATATATATATATATATA